GTCACTACTAAAGAAAAGAAAAGAAAGCCCATTCTTTTTTTTTTTTTAAAGGCAATTGGGATTAAGTGACTTGCCCAGGGTCACACAGCTAGAAAGTGACAAGTGTTTGGTCTGAGGCTGGATTTGAACTCAGGTCCTCCTGACTTCAGGGCCAGTGCTCTATTCACTGCACCACCTAGCTGCCCCAAGAAAGCCCATTCTTAAGGAGCCAGATTTATGGATCAATGCGTATGCTGCAAAAGAATGGTAGAAATGTTCCAACAATTGAACACTCATCCAAACGTGTAGAAAATAAGATTAAGTAGTCAGAATTATACAAAAGAAACTGGTTATCCTTTATTAACAAAGATATGAGAAATTCTCATACTACAAATATAAATACCTTTGGAAATTCAATAAATAAAATACAAAAGAATTTAAGCATTATTACAGACAAAACTGTAAACCACAATCATCGATATTTTTTTTCAGTCATTTTTCAGCTGTGTCTGACTCTTTGTGACCCCATTTGGGATTTTCTTGGCAAAGATACTAGAGTGATTTGCCATTTCCTTCTACAGCTCATTTTGAAGATAAGGAAACTGAGGCAAACAGTTATGTGACTTTCCCAGGGTCACATAGCTAGTAAATGTCTGACGCTAGATTTGAACTCAGGAAGATGAGTCTTCCCGGCCTAGCACTCTAGCCATTGTGCAGCCTAGCTGCCCTGTCTAATATAACATTGATCCACAAAGACTGAAAGACAACACTCCAATTACAGGTTACCACACTAAATATTCAATATGTAAATAACTACATACAAGGAAGTGATTTGCAGGATAAACTGGAGATAAACAACAAGGAGCACACTCTAATTTTAAGTGGAACTGGGAAAAGGTTCATGTATCAGGTGGAATTTTAGCTGAGACTTGAAGGAAGCCAGGAGGCAGAGATGAGGGAGAGCATTCCAAGTATGAGGGTTAACCAGCAAAAACATCCACAGTAGGAACATGGGAGTGCCTTGTGCAAGGAACAGAAAAGAGGCCAGCGTCACTCGGCCGAATATGTTGAGAGGCTATTTCAACAGTCCAGGTGTGAGGCAATGAGGGCCTGTACCAGAGTGGTGGCAGTGGCAAAGGAGAAAAGAGGTTATATTGTACAGTATGCTACCCTTTCTTTACTTTTTCTTTTTTCTTTTAAAAGAACTGAAATACAAGAAAGCTTCTCCCAGGTTCCCTGCTTTATCTTTTTTATTTAATAAAGGCTGACTTGAATTGTTTTATTTTTATTTTTTAATGCAGTGAAAAGTTACATTGCTCTTCTTTGTTGTTTAGAATAAGAGCATTCTAAATTTCAGCAGAGATGCAATAAGTGCTTTTAATTAGGTATTGCTGTGGAACCAACAAAAGTCTTAATAAAATGGTTTTACTGAACCATATACACTAGACAGTATTGAACCTAAATGACAAACTTCAGATACCAACCATTTGACTGTATTTTTTTTACATTAACAAAAGAGTATGTGGACAACAAATATCCCATGATTATTCTTCAATAGATGAAGAAAAGGCTTTTGACAAAATAACAACGCTCATTCCTATTAAAAACATTACAAAGCTTAAAATGGTAAATAATATCTAACTAAAACCAAGAGCAAGCATTGTATCTAATAAGATCAAGGATGTCCATTATCACCACTTTTATTCAATATCATATTAGAAATGCTAGCGATAGCAATAAGACTAGAAAAAGAAATTGGAGAAATAAAAACAGGCAATGAGGAAATCACTCTTGCAGATGATACGATAGTATGCTTACAGAACCCTAGATTTAGCAAAGTTGCAGGATGTAAAATAAACCCACATAAATCATCAGCATATACTACAAACAAAACTCATCATAAAGAGATAGAGAAATTCCATGTAAACAACTATAGGCAATATAAAATACTTGGAAGTCTACCTGCCAAGAAAAACTCAGGGAATATATGAAAATGATTATAAGACACTCTTCACACAAATAAATCTAAATAATTGGAGACATATTAATTATTCGTGAGTAGGTTGAGCCAATAAAATAAAAATGACAATTCTACCTAAATTAATTAACTTATTATTCAGTGTCATGTCAATCAAACTACTGAATAATTATTTTATATAGCTAGAAAAAATAATAATAAAATTCACCTGGAAAAACAAAAAGTCAAGAATATCAAGGAAATCAATGAGAAAAAAAGGTAAAGGAAGGAAGCCTAGCAGTATCAAACTATATTACAAAGTGGTAATCATGAAAACAATCTGTTACAGGCTAAGAAATGCAGTGATGGATCAGTAGAATAGATTAGGTACACAATACACAGAAGTAAATGACTACAACAATCTAATGCTTGATAAACCCAAAGATCCAAGCTTTTGGGGTAAGAACTCATCATCTGAGTTCAAAATTGCTGGGAAAACTGAAAAGTAGCTTGGAAGAAAGTAGGCAAAGACCTATGTCTCAGTTATCTTCAATCTCTCCCTGTCTCCTGGCTGTTTCCTTATTGCCTACAAACAAGTTCATGTGTCTTCCATCCTCAAAAAAACCTCACATGATCCATCCATCCCAACTAGCTACCATCCCATATCTTTCCTCCCTTTTGTGGATAAATACTTTGAGAAGGCTATCTACAAAAAATGACTTCACTTCTTTCCTCTCACTTTCTTCTTAACTCTCTGCAGTCTGGCTTTTAGTCTCATTATTCAACTGAAATTACTCTCTCATAAGTTAAAAACATTTTGTTAAATGCCAAATTTAATGGCTTTTTCTCAGTCCTTATCCTTATGGATCTTTCTGCAGCTTCTGATCCTTCTGACTACCCTTTTTTTTCTGGATATTCTCTTCTTTCTAGGTTTTCGTGATACTATGCTGGTTCTTCTCCTACCTGTCTGGATACTCCTTCTCAGTCTCTTTTTGCAGATCTTCATCCAGGTAATGTTCACTAACCACCACCAATGTCCCCCAGGGCTCTTTCCTGAGGCCTCTTTTCTTTTTCCTCTATATTCTTTCACTTGGAGATCTCATCAGATACCACAGATTCAACTATCATCAGTGTGCCAATGATTTTTCAAATCTATGCATCCAGCCCTAACTTCTATAACGTCCAGTCTTGAATATCCAACTCCTTTTTGAATATCTCAAATTGGATGTCTCACAGACAATCTTAAACTAAATACGTACAAAATTAAACTTACTATCTTCCCTCGAACACCCTTCTGGCCAAGTTCTCCCTTTTTTCCTAATTTTCCTGTTACTGTCAAGGATACCACCATATTTCCAGTAAGTCAAGCTTGCAACTTAGGCATCATCTTCAAGTCTTCACACTCATTCCCTTCCCCACATCCAATTGGTTGCCAAGTCCTAGCAATTCTACCTTTGTAATATATCTTTTATATATATATATATATATATATGTGTGTGTGTATGTGTATGAGTGTGTATGTATATATATGTATGTGTGTATGTATACACATATGTATGTGTGTGTATAGATATAGATATGTGCATATATATATATAGATAGATAGATAGATATAGATATAGATATAGATATATAGATATAGATATAGATATAGATATAGATATAGATATATGCCCCCTTAAATCTCAGCCAAAGTACCACCTTCTCAAGAAGTGTTTCCTGGCCCTCCTTAATCTTAGTGCCTTCCTTCTGAAAATATGCCCAATTTATCCTGTTTATATCTTGTTTGTGTATAATCATTTGCATGTTTTCTCCCTACATTAGACTGTGAGCTCCTTGTAGGCAAAGTTTGTCTTTTGCTTTACTTTGTGAATCCAGTATTTATTACAGTTTCTCGCACATATTAGGCACTTAATCAATGCTTACTGACTGACTACTCAAGGTACCAGAAAGTGAGGTCAACAGCATGAACCTTTATTCCCCTAAGCCAATTAGGGATGGCTTAAAGGATGGCTTAAATACCCTCTGAAGAAAAACTAGCTTAACTTACATGATAGTCAGGGGGAGGAAAGAAGATACATATCTCAACACAGTATTTAGTCTGTCTATATATGCAGAGGATTTAAAGTTCTCTCCTCTGTAGAGCATAAGCTATTGGAGGTAGATTATTTTATTTTTTATCATTACTTTGTTTCCAACATAATAACTGGCACATAGTAGGTATTTAATAAATGTTAACTAACTGAAACAACGAGTTGGTTCAGAAGGGAAGAAGTGTGACTGATAGTCAGAGGCAAAGCAACATGACAACATGACTGACACATACTCCTAGATAAAAAGCCTGGGTTATGCCAGAGAACAATAGAATGCTGGGTAACTGAGAGCCACCTGTGTGAGGATCCTAACTGTTGACTGGATCCTGTTGACAATACTGCTACACTAAGTTTTTAGAGGCACCATGTAGAAGGTGATAAGATAAATATTTATTGACTAGTAGAAAAAAGATGACATGAAAGAAATCTATAAAATGGTTACATAATTCTGGATATCTTTTCTTAACAGCATTGCTACAAAATGATAATTTACTTATATGCCTAAAAGGCTTGCTAATGAAAAGGCAAATTGTAGCAGAGTAAAAAGCAAACTCCAACAGTAATTGAGAGACCTGAGCTCTGATTTATAACTCTGACATGAAACAGCTTTGAGATCCTATTTAAGTCATTTCATCTGTTTGGGTCTTAATTTCTATGAATAAAATGAAGACGCTGGACTAGATGATCAAAAAATTACCATATACAGGTTTACAACACATGATATAAATAAAAAAAACAATATAAAATGTACAAATATCTTCAATGATGAAAATTACTATTTCTTGAAAATATTAAAGGGTTATAGGAGATAGTGCTATAAACACTGTCATCCATAATTTCACTACGATATTAGTACAACACTAGAAAAATGGTATTTGCTAAAAGAGAGATACCATTTTCTTAATCGATAAGCACTCTGGAGAACTATTTCTGTCTACAAAATATATTAATAATGAAGTATGGAAATTTACCTGTTATTTGTTTCCTCAACTTCTCAATTTCTTCTTTTAAGTTTTTTATTTCTAAATCTTTGTTTGCAGTTAATGGGCCATCTACAGTTGAATATTGAAGAGCCTGGACTGTCTGTGTTGATTCTTTAAAAAGAAAGAAGGAAAAATAAGATAACAGTGACACACATGCATTTTATGAACTACATCAACAGATATGTGGAAAAATCCTTGCAGAGTTAATGAAAAAGTCCAGATATAAAAGTATTATGACTCTAGAACAATATTCATAAATGTTCTAATTCTTGCCATCTTAAGAACATATGCCTAATGACCTGGGAAGGTCTCCTGTCCATAACTTGACCCAATTCACAACTCATAGGACCAGCTTTCTACTCTGGCCCCAGTGGCCTTCTCACATTGGCATCTTCCTCACACCTAAGGTCTCTTTCTCAAATCACTGAGCTCCTCCTCAAACCACCATTTGAGAAAGCACTCACACCATTCATGCTCTCTTTAAATGGGGAAAAGCACACATTTCCCTTGATTATTTTTCTCCCTTGATTATTTCCTTGTCTTTTCCCTAAGCTAGTAGGAAAAATGGAAAAACAGATAGATATTCCCTTTTTTGCTACTTCATGGACCAGCCCTACTGGCTTTCATACTTTTCCCCATGTTAGTGGTTCTATACTTGTTCCTTTGCACAGGCTGTCTTCCATGGGTACACTATATTAGCTACACAGCCCTGATCTTAGAATAGAACAAGTTTCATTCAAAGCTCAGCTCCAGTCTACATCTTTCTGGATATCTCTAACTGTTAATACTTTCTCTATCCTTTCCTATTTCTGTTTATTTTTGAAAATGTTTGTTACATATTCACATATCCCAGTTTTCTCCCTCTTCAGAACATAAGCTCCTTGAGAACAGTGACTACTTAATTTTTGTTTCTGTATCTAGCACTATCTATCACAAAAGAGTGCAAAACAGTGGCAGTGCTATCTTAAAAAATTCTTTACCTTGAAGCTTTCTACTAAGTTCAAGTTTTTCCTGCTCAAGACGTCTTATTCTCCGTTCATAAGCTTCAGTCGCTAAACTGTCCTCCAAAGTTCGCTGAATATTGACATCAACATCCATTGAGGGAGGTCCAGCTGTAACTCTTAAACAACTTCGATCTGAAAGAACACTGAAGAAAAGAGAAAATAACTTGGCATCATTTTGAGATGAAAATCTTTACTTATCTTCAAGTAAAAACAAGGTTATTCATTATTCATAAAAGAATTTTACTATTTAACATTCTAGAATAATCAGGAATATTTAAATAAAAAAAGCAACCTCATTAATCTAGTAAAACATTTTAATGAAAAAAACTCTATAGTTCCTTAAATTGGCTTTTTAAAATGACATATAAAGCTGTTAAAAAAAAAGGTCTGGCTCTTTAAACAATAACAAGAATTTCAATCAATATAGTTATGTGAAAGCATTTCAGTTAACATCCTCAATGTTTTGTTACATAATTTTATTGATTAGAATGATATTCAAATGCATAATGGTTCCTTAACTACAAACACACAAATGGATTTGTGACCCTCTCTGTTTGAAGGTTCAATAACAATTAACCCATGCCTAAGTATCCCATGTACTTTCTTTTCCCTGTGAAGATGCTTATGCCAAACTGTTGAGTGGTTCTGGCTCTCTCAGAGAAGACTGCTGGATGTTCTAGAGCTAAACTTAACTGGCAATGCTATCTCTTGTGTTTTTCAAGAAATCTTGACTAGGGAAGAAGGTGGAATAGGACAGGAAATACTGGGCTCTCCAAAATTCTCACTCAAACAAGATAAAATATTACCTCAAGCTGAACTCTGAACAGCAGAAATAATCTAAGACAACTGGAGAATATCTCAGGAAAGACCTGACCTCCAGGAGCCTAGGTTTGGCCCACTGAAGTACAAATACCTCCTGGCCGACTCCCTAAATTAACAAACAACAAGCCCTGGAGGCAACTGGGATTCAGGAAATTTCACTTCACAGTGTGGTGGTGGGATAGCTGAGCAGGGGAGGATTGAAGGACCCTCCACTGTTGTGGGACACCAGACCCAGGTGGGTGAGGATTAGTGAGCACATGCCTAGTGAGTTCAGTAGCAGAGAAGCAGGGACCCTGCTGGCTGTCAGCATTAGCAGGAGAGTCAAATGCCTGGTTTTGGTTCCAGGGCAGAGGGGTGAGATGAAGTTTGCAGCCAGGAAAGGGACTGACAGGAACAAGAGCATTTGCAGTGACAGTGTAGCTGGGAGTGCCAGCCTTGGCTCAGGGGCAGAGAGGAGTGCCTGAGGTAGGGCTCCCGGCAGAGCTCAGAAAACAACAGAAAGAAAAACCTGAAGTCTGAGGGATCATTCCCCACACCACACACACACATATCCCACACTAGCCCCCCACCCCGCCCCAAGCACACAGAGTAAGCACAGGAGAAAGAGCCTGACCAAAGATAGCTATCATGGGGATAGAGAAGATCCGGATTCATGCTCAGAAGTAGATAGGAAGTTAAAAAAGCCACTCTCAAAGAAAAATGTGAAATTGTTATATGTCCAAAAAGAGTTCTTGGAAGATCTTATGAAGGACTTGAGAAGTTGAGGAAAAATTAGGGGGAAAAAATAAGAAAATCAAGAACATTATGGAAAAAAAGTCAACAAATTGGAAAAAGATTTAAAAACTTAAGGAAGAAAATAACCCCTTAAAGACTAGAATCTGGCAAGGGGAAGCCAATGATGTCGTAAGACACCAAGAAATAATAAAACATAATCAAAAGAATGAAAAAATAGAAGAGACTGAAATAGCTCATTAGAAAAATAACTGATAGGGGCAGCTAGGTGGTGCAGTGAATAGAGCTCTGGCTTTGGAGTCAGAAGGACCTGAGTTCAAATCCAGCCTTAGACACTTAATACTTACTAGCTGTGTGACCCTGGGCAAGTCACTTAACCCTGATTTCCTCACCAAAAAGTAAAAGCAAAAAAACAAAACAACAACAACAACAACAACAACAAAACTGATTTAGAGACCAGATCAGAGAGAGACAATATTAAGAACTGTTGGAGTATTGGAAAGTTATGATAAAAAAAAGGGTATATAGATAAAATATTGCAAGAAATCATTAAAGAAAATTGCCCTGAAGTTCTAGAACAAGACAGTAAAACAGAAATAGGAACCATCTATTACCATCTGAAAGATCCCAAGATGAAAACTTTCAGGAACATCATAGCCAAGTTTCAAATCTCCCAGGTTAAGGAGAAAATACAGGCAACAAGAAAAAAATTTAATACCATGGAGCTATGGTCAGGATAACACAAGATCTAGCACCTTCTTTATTAAAAGACTGAAGGGCTTAGAACATTACATTTCAAAGAGCAAAGGAGCTGGGTTTGCAGAATAACGTACCCAGCAAAGCAGAGTAGTATGATCCTGAATGAAAAAAAAAAGGGTGCATTTAAGGAAGTGAAAGACTTTCAGGTATTTCTGACAAAAAAGACCAGATCTCAATGGAAAAATCTGACATATAAGATCCAGGAGAAGCATAAGGTAAACAATAAAGATCAATTATGACAGACTCCATAAGGTTTACTTCTTGTATGAGAAATGTTATGTACTCGTATGAGAAAGCATTATATACTTCTATGAGAAAATGTTATCTTGGGTAGTTTAAAAGAGCATACATAGATAGAAGGGTTGAAGTTGAGTTGAATATGATGAGATGATTCTAAAAAATTAAATTGGGTAGGGGAGGTAAAATGAAGCAATTATCCCACACAAAAGAGGTATAAATGGAAGAACTGTTACAGTGAAAGCACATGGGGGTGGAGAGCTGGTAGGGCTGGAACCTTATTCTCATTGGTACTGGTTAAAGAGGGAACAACATATACATTTAGAAGGGTATAAAATTCTTTTAAATTTATAAAGAAGTAGTAAGGTAAGTGGACGGAATAGGAGAAGAACTTTTAAAAGGCTGTGTAGATCAAGAAGTAGGAGGGCGGAAGGAGAGGACAAGGGAAGGATTCTTTTTTTATAAATTTATTTATTTTAAAGTTAAATACACAAAAAGAAAAGAAAAAGAAACATATAACTTTAAAAAGAAAATAAGGAAAGAGAAAAAAGCATTGCCATGTGCATAGCAGAATGTAAGAGGCGATTCAAAATATACAGCAATAAATTTCCATTTCAAGAAAACCTAAATAAAAAATACTACATATTGTGTTCAGAGCTGTCCATCTTTTCTTTGCTTCATTTTGAGTTTCGTTTTGTTCTCTGCCATGCACTTTTTATTTTGTTCTTTTCCTTCCCTCCCCTCCAAGGCTATAATTAAGCATGGATACACACACACATACACACACACACACACACACACACACACATACACACACACACACAGATATCTATAATCATACTCATACATAGACATATACATTCATATGCATCTATGTTACACCATACTACACTTGTTCACTCTGTTTCTCTGAAGGTGGATGACATTTTCTTTCATCAGTCAAAATCTTTCCATATTTTTCTAATTCCATCAACTCATAATTTCCTATACCACAGCAATATTCCAACCTTATACTGTCTAGTTATTTTAAATAGTCTAAAACAATATTGATTAAAATGGCATGTAGTTCCCCTATTTTTCTTTTTTTCATTAAATTTTATTTAACTTTAACTTTATCTTAGATCAGGATTACTGACCCAGCTTTTTTTCCCCCCTAATAAATTCTACTCTTGATCTTTATTTCATGTTTGTGTGTATCTCTTATTTTCTATCTCTTGTGACTCTTTGACTTTACTTCTATCCACTAGCTTGCCCTACTATTATGTAACCTACCCCCTTCCCTGCAAAGATCACTCCCTTATACTCTCCCCCCATGCTTTCTCCTTACCCTCTTGTTTCCTTCTGGATTTAGAAAACTTTTAGAGCCTTCCAAATATATGCTATTCTCTCTTTATCCCATTCCTGTTAATTTAAACATCCTTCTATACCCCTCAATCCTATTCCCTCACCCTCTTATTTCACTATAAATTTAGAAGACTTTTATTCCCTTCTAAATGTATATTTACACCACCATTTAGGTGGTGTAAATTTAGACCCCTTAGGTCTAAATCATGTACCTGTTTTGACCTTATCTTGGTAGACGGTATGAAATGCTGATCTGTACCTAGTTTCTGCCAAACTATTTTCCAGTTTTACCAGTGGTTTTTGTCAGTAAATTTTTGAAAAGCTTAGATCTTTTCTTAATCAAACACTAGATTACTGTGCTCAATTACTACTGCATATTGTGCACCTAATCCATTCCCCTGATCCACTTATCCATCTATTTTGTAGCTAGTATCAGATTGTTTTGTTTTGATGATTACTGCTTTGTATGTCCTTTTTGGGTTTTCATTCAGGATTATGCTTAACTTTGCTGTGTGCGGTATTTTTGGTCAGAACTCCAGTTCTTTTACTTTTTGATAAAAAAAAAAGTGAAGGATTGTAGTATAGCTATACCAGATCTCAAATTTGATATATAGTGTTCCTATACATGTGGTCTTTTAGTGTAGCACCCCCCCCAAGAGATAAAATAGTGTCTCAGGGTTAATATAGAGCTGTAAAAATAAATAAGAGTTGGGGCAGAACAGTGGTCCTCCTAGGACAACTGGAGAAGATCTGAAGAAAAATTTGAGGGCACAGGTTTGGTCCCTGTGAAGAGTAAACACCTCCAGGCTAGTTCCACTGAAACAGCAAGGGGCAAGCCCTGGGTCTAAGTCGGTTGGGAGGTAGCCTTGGCCCCGGCAATAGGAATTTTCCTCTCCCAGACACTGTAGGGAGTCAGGCCTCTGAGTGGGCTAAAATTGAGGGAACCTATTCTGATAAAGGATGTCAGACCCAGCCGTATTGCCATGAGATGGCCCTGGGTGAGAAGGAATCAGCACATGCCTGGCAAATGCAGAAGCAGTGAGCGTGGGTACATAGAAGAGGATGGAGTTCTTAGTTTCAAATTCATGCCAGAGGGGAGAACTGAAGGAGGATCTAAGGCCAGAGGCACCATCTCCCATACCCCAGGACTAGGAGTAATTACAAAATATAAGCTTCTAAGGAGAAAGAATCCAACCACAGTTACTATGGGAATAGAGAAGACTGGAGTTCTTCTTCAGAGGAAGACACT